ATTTGAGATAATTTGGGCTAATTAAAATTAAAGACTGGATCTTAGTAGTCCTTGAATGTAGTAGAAATGTGACGAATTCAACAAAAAAACTCCCCTATTTTCTTAAAAAAAATATATTTTTTTAAATACGGAGAATGGTTGAAATCACTACGATTTTATCGACGCTGTGTGGCTAGTTTTTGTTTTGTTATTATTTTGACAAAAAACAAATGTATAGCGACTGTTTTCCAGACAATTTTGTTTTTGTTTTTAAAAAATTGGGGAATTATTTTATTTTACTTTTTCTAAATTCTAAAGTTTCATTAATTAGTCAAAATTCAAGCTGTTTCAAGCTAATAAAGTTATAGTCACAAAGTCTTGAATTGAATACAAACTTGACATTTAGAGACGTAGTTTCGTTTTTTTGACGCAGATTTTGTTTTCAATTTCTTTTTTTTTGGTTTATAACTCGTGTCCCAGAGGAAAATATCGGGAACTTGGAAAAAATGTTAAAAAAATTCTATCGAAAAATTTTGACGTCAATAACAATTCTGTTTAGATCCAAATAAAATAACATGAAAAAAAATAGATTGAGATTTTTTAAAAACATGTAGAATGCAATTTTTAACAGATTAATACAATACATAAGGTGGCGGTGACGAAAAATTGCATCTGTTCTAGATTGCCTTGGATGACATGACCACGATTTTATCGATGCGATTTGTGCTTTCATTTTGTGATATTTTATCAAAAAAAAAAACAAATATCACTTGTGGCGACTATATTTCAGAAAATTATTTTTTTTTGTAACATTGATGAAATAGTTTTTTTTCTAAATTGTAAAGTTTTATTTATGATTAATTTTTATATTAAAATCAATTAAGTTGTGACCATAAAGTCCTAAATTAAATTTACAAACTTGACGTTTTTTGACGCATTTTTGTTTTTTTTTTATATAAATTTCCGTCTCAATTGAACGACTTTATCGACGCGGTTGTTTTATAATGTCAATTTTGTCACACTGTTTAAATACTTAATGAAATCTCGTTCCGAATATCTGTTTGTTACAATTTCTGTCAATTAATTATTATTTATTTTCGAAACTCGATTTATTTTCACATGTTAACAAAGATATTGACCAAGAAAAACGTAGTTGGGACGATCTGTATAAAAGTCTATAATATTATGTAAAAAATTAGTCATGCTTGAAACTGGTTTATTGTTTTTTTTTTTTTAATATACCCAGAGAAAATTTAAAAATCAATTATAAACGATAACTAGCAATTTATGATAAAATATAAAATATTTCGTGTTTAAATTTGAGATAATTTGCACTAATTAAAATTAAAAACTGGATCCTTGTAGTCCTTGAATGTAGAAATGTGACGAATTCAAAAAAAAATTATGAAAAAATTTTCCGGTTTAAAGCTGTTTGTAAAATAAAAAAAATATACAAGTGCTTTCTTAATATTGTGAAAAATTGTAACCACATATTCTACAATTTATCAAATAAACGATAGATCTAGAAAGCCTCGGTAAGGACATACAGGGTGTTGATAATAAATTTAAAGTTCCTCCGAAACCATTTGAATTATTTTCATAAATTTTATTTATTTTCCGGATATTACTTCATTTTTACTTTTACCAGTGGCGTACGTAGGGGCAGGACACAGTTTTTTTTTATTTTTTTAGTGTTACTTTTCAATTAACGATTTTTAATACTGTAATAATTAGTAGAGAAGACAAAAACAAGTGCGTTTTTTAGGATTATGTTAACTAATCAGTCTCAATACTTATCTAATAAAACAAATAAATGAAGTAATTATGCTGCACCACCCGTTGATTGTACAAAGTCTACAGGATGTCTCAACAAATAATTTAAATTACTTTATGTAAATATGCGAAAAAAAAAAAGATAAAAACCATAATACATTATTTGTTTAACGCAATCTTTTCTTTGAAAGATATGACGGAATAATAATTGTTTTGACTGACTTATTAGATTAAGCCAAAATCCGTGTTAAAACATTTTTTTCGTACGATTTGTGCTAGAAAAAAACTAATTTTTCCTAAAAGTTTTTCCGCTTTGGTTTCAAGGTTAATTAAACATTTCCGTTTTTGATGTCAAGGTATTTTTAATTCAATTACTGTTAATAACATTGATACTTAACCGATTCTTTAATTTAAAAATGAAAAATTAGCCATTAGCTTTCAACATACAGAAAAAAATACCTATTAAAATATTTCTGTCTACAATTTCGAAGATATGGGGTTTTTGTACCTTTACTAAATAATTATGAAAAAACATACAGGGTGCGTCAGAACTCGCGCCTCAGCGTAAAATGCAACGTAAAGTAAGATACCAGAAACATGGAAAAAATTCTATCTATAAAAAAAGTTATGAGAGTTTAAATTTTACAGTTTTACTCTTATTTATTTCTGTTGGAAAAATAGTTTTCCGAGTTTTGTCAGAAAATAAGCATTAAAATTTTCTAATGTTAAAAAATAAATATCAAAATTTTTTGACAGGTAGAATTTTTTAAACAAATTTTTCTCTGGGCGCGAATTCTTACACATCCTGTATACAAGAGTATACAAGTCAAATGTCATTAAATAGGTATTATATTTTCGAATGTCAAAAAGTAAATGTCAAAATTAGATAGAATTTTTAAAAAAATTTTTCCATGTGCCTGTTACTTGAAATTTTTCTCTGGGCGCGAATTCTGACACACCCTGTATACAAGAGTATACAAGTCAAATGTCATTAAATAGGCATTAAAATTTTCAAATGTCGAAAAATAAATGTCAAAATTATTTGACAGATATAATTTTTTAAATGTTTTTTCCATGTGCCTGGTACTTGAAATTTTTCTCTGGGCGCGAAGTCTGACACCCTGTATGCAAGAGTATACAAGTCAAATGTCAAAAAATAAATGTCAAAATTATTTGACAGATATAATTTTTTAAATGTTTTTTCCATGTGCCTGGTACTTGAAATTTTTCTCTGGGCGCGAAGTCTGACACCCTGTATGCAAGAGTATACAAGTCAAATGTCAAAAAATAAATGTCAAAATTTTTCCATATTCCTGTTATCTTGTTTGTTTCGACGGAATTGTCCGAAATTTGCTTTAAAAATACTGAGAAATAAAGAAAAAAACGGGTTTACTTGCGTGTGAAACTGGAATTGTTTGTTTTAGTGTATGCGAGTTTACGTGGAATTTGAGATAGCCCAAGGAGCTTACGACATTTCATGCCCCGACGCCCAGTGTCCCTCCAAAGGGGTTTTAACCGAAGAAGAGATAAAAAGACTGGCTGGAGACGATTTATTTGAAAAACACAACAAATACCGCTTAAATAGAGGTACAAAACATTTTATTGAAATTGGCATAATAGTTGGCCATGATTGTGCAAACCGCGCTTTAAATGCGAAAAAGGATCTAAATTTGTCACTAAATAAGTGAGGTTAAAATAGTTAAAACTTTATTTTTAAAGACCCCCCTCTTTAATTATAATTTGAAAAATGTACTTACTTAGGTAAGCAAAGAAAAACAAAAACCCCATTTGCTGTTATACTAGGGACTTGCGCAGGACTACAAACTTAAATATGAAATTCCATAGCCAACTATGCCAATTTCAATTAAATCTACTATATTACTCGATTTGAAGAAAAACAACAATTTTTTTTGTAGAAGTAGAATTAGATAAGAATCGCACATGGTGTCCCCGGGCCGGTTGCGAGACCGTCTGCAACCTCTGCCCCACTCAACAATGTCATCCTCAAAGCGTTCACTGCCCGAGTTGCACAACCGATTTTTGCAGCAACTGCAAATTGGAGTGGCACGAAGGCTTAACATGCGAGGACAACAGCAAAAAGTTAGCGAAAGAAGGGAAAGTCGAAGAGCCTGGAATATCGTTCAATTCAGATCTCATAAAATGCTGCCCCATGTGTAATGTTCCTATTGAAAAAGATGAAGGCTGTGCACAGATGATGTGTAAACGGTGCAAACACGTCTTTTGCTGGTACTGTCTAGCCAGTCTTGATGTAACAAAATCAAATTTTGGTTTAAAAACAGACTAAATTTGCGATTTCAGGACGATTTTTTGCTCCGCCACTACGACAAAGGCCCTTGTAAGAATAAACTAGGACATTCGCGAGCCTCAGTGATCTGGCATCGAACTCAAGTGATTGGGATTTTTGCAGGATTTGGGATTTTGCTTCTAGTGGCTTCACCTTTGCTTCTTTTAGCTGCGCCATGCATTGTTTGCTGCAAGTGCCGAGTGTGTAATGCAGGGACCACGAAATTAGACAACGAAGAAGACGACGCTCCCGTTGAAGAATCTTGATGTGGTGTGCTTCACATTGAAACTTATTTTTTGTCTAGTCTTTCGTTGCATAAACATCACTGAATTGTTTTATAGCTTGAAGTTTAAACATGGACGGAAGCTGTGATAGAACTGTGATTATGAAAACCGTCTGTGTCTTGGACTTGTTATATAATTTATTTGTTTTATTGGCTGAACAATGGAGCTTTTTTAGCTGTTGATTAGAATACTGTGATATTTAAGAGGGTTGAAAAGTATTATTATTTTATATTTTTGGCATATTGAATCGGTTTTGCAGTATTCTATTACACAGCATTGTTGCAGTCTCCTGATTTTTGTTGAGATGTATAGAAGTGTTATTTTTTTATTTCTTAGTCACGGCTTGAACCTACACAGTTACTTTTTAATGGAGGACAAATTGTGAATAATATAAGATACTTATTTAATTAGTTATTCATAAAATATTATTAGTGTTGATCCTTGTCATTTTACAAATGACTGAGTTTTTATTACCTGAAATTGTTTGATTTTTATGTTTTCCAGTAATAATCGAATAAACACTTAAACGATTTATTATTATTATACCTACATGTACATACTGTTAAAACGTCATAGATTTAATTAGGTACCATGTACTTACTATATTAATAAGAGAAAATATACGTTATTGGTACTACTTTGTCGACTTTTCAATCAGTTAAGTGAATAGTATAACTTTAGTCCTTATGTGTGACATTCTCATTGTAAATTGGGGTCACCAAACACATCATTCATTTTTTTATTTATTAATAATTTACCTTGAAATTTTAATCTTTATGTGCTAATATTGTGTCTACAAAAGTCGGTCAAATAAATACTTCATTTTTCGTGCTCTTAATCATAAGGTCAATGGCCATATGGAGAGCATTATTTATGACCAGTCTCTATATTCTAAGTTATTTAATAACCTCAAAGTGCTGTAAAATTTGGCAAAACAACGATAAATATGACAAAAAAAGTTGAAGAAACTGATTTAAGAAACGAATAAATGGAATGTTCAGAATTCAACATTTTTGTGAAAAATGTGTTAAAAAACGATTTATAAGGGGCCATGTAGAGTGCACAATTTACGACCAGTCTCTTTATAAAGAAAATTTCACAGTTTGAGCAGTGCTACCAATCCACGCGCTCGATTTAGTTTAAAATAATTGAATCTTTTTATTTATATTCAAAGTAACTTTGCACTCGTTTTCTACGAATAATAATCATTTTGACTAAAATACAATTAAAATCTATTCATAATTTAATAAATAGTTACTGATGTTGTACAGTTGGAGACAAAATACTTTGGTCGTCACTTTTCTGACGCTTTAATGTAATGAATTACATTAAAAAAAAAATTACATTAGCTTTAAGGTTAAAATGAATGACAATTTCAAATTAATGACAGGTATTATATAGTCAACTATGATTGACAGTGGCTAAAAATAAGGTTAACAGTCCTAAAGCATGCTTTACAATTTAATGTCACTCAAGTGACATTGACGACCAAAGTATTTTGTCTCCTACTGTACTTAAAAATCACAGACACTTCACTTACTTTATTATTATTATTTGACTCGACAAAAGAAGAAGAAACCAATTGGCAGATAATTATTTTAAGACAATTTTCTGGCAAATAATTTCCACAACCTTTACAGTTACGGAATTAAAATTTCGAGCAGTATTTTTCTGTAGAGATGGGAATATCGAAAAATATATATTGATGTTCTGTAACATCTATGATCGAACAAGAAATCATCGCCCCAAAACATCGATAAGTAAAAAATCGATGTTTTTTATTGAAAAAAAAATCATTTACCAATTTTTTTAATAATAAATTTTTGGAACATAAAAAAATACAAATACAAACATATTTCTTACAATTCTTGCATAAAACATAAACAAATACAAACTACAAACACAAAACTTAACCACCTACATCACTTCATCATCGTTAATTTTGTGAAAAAACATCGAATTCTCCATACATCGAATTTAAATTTTATAAATGAAATTTAAAAATTAAAAATAATTAACTAAACCAATTCCGATGTATCGAAGTAAAAACATCGATATTTAAAAAAATACTTACACATTTTTAAATCGATGTATTTGACCAATATTAGATGTTTGAAAAACATCGATATTTTTTGCCCATCTCTATTTTTCTGTCACATCAAAAAGTTCACTGTAAACTACCTTTTACTGTCATCATAACTGACATTTGACAATTAAACTTTTCTGTTAGTGACGCTATTTTTTAAGTCAAAATGACAAACATGACTTGAAACATGACAAGAGTAAAAAATGAGGTTATTAATGTAAAACTTGTTTTAGAGTTTACATTGAGAAAATGACAATACTGCCCGAAATTTTAATTCCGCAACTGTACACTCGAAATGGAAACTCCAAACTTATTCAAGTTTTAAAAACAAATTTAATCAATTAGTTACCAAATAGAACTAATTGTGTGCGGTTGACAGCACTTTCTGAATTTTGCCGATCAAAAAAATAACGGATTTATTTAATTTCCACGTGTTTTAAATGCTGAATTGTGTGAAACTTGTAAACAAAATACTTGTAGCAACACACGCCTGAGTCATGAGTAAAAATAGTAAAACAAATAGACCAATTTAGGATAGTTTTTAGAAAAAACTAGCAAAGATTTCTGTTGTTTGTTTTTTTTTGTTGATAATTTTTCATAGGAAGATCTCGATAATAATTTTCTTAGAATAATTTTGAATTTTTTTTGCAAAGTTGGCAGCAGAAGTAACTAAAATGTGTCAAAATGGTGGCGGAAGGCGTCAACCAGTGGCGTGCATCATGCCCTCCCAGAGAGGTAAACAACCCATTATTCACTTAATTGCTTTCTAATTAGCATAGAATTAAAGATAGGGCACAATAAGCATGAGAAAACATGGTCTGGCTAGTTTATTGCTAAAACTCAACAAGCTGGTGCCTCATTTAAGTCAAGCCAACCAAAGCTCAATGTCTCAAATAAAAACATTCGTTTTTGTGGACTTGGAGACCACCGGTTTGCCCCATTTGGAGCACAACAAGACCCGAATCACCGAATTTTGTGCCGTGGCAGTTCGAGCAGACCACATAGAGCTTGGGTGCTTCCCCCGAGTTCATAATAAATTATCAATGTGTTTCAACCCAATGAAGATGATTAGCCCCGAAGCCACCACCATAACAGGTAGTTGGCTTTGTATTTAGCCCCCACAAGGCGTGATTTGAGCTTTTAGGACTTTCGAATGAGTTATTAGAGCAGCAGACGCGTTTTTCAAGTGAAACCGTGGACGTTATAGGAAAATGGCTAGAGATGAATCAAAAACCGATTTGTTTGGTTGCACATAACGGAAATAAGTTTGATTACCCCATCTTGAGGGCGGAGGTCCAAAAAACGGGCAATGATCTCCCAGAGGATATCCTCTGTCTTGACTCACTTATCGCATTCAGGAACATTGATACTTTAGAGACACAAGTGGTAAAAGAGCCACCAAAAGAAGTACCTTTTCAGTTTAATGACGAGTTTGATGAAATTTTAAACCAAGCCTTGGACGAGTACGAAAAACAAAGGAAACTCACACCTGAGGAAGTACAAAAAATGAACGAAACGACGCCGAAAAAACAAACGATTTGCACACAGAGTGGCAGTGGGGGCCCTGTGGAGGCAAGCAGACGTAACTTCAATCGCATCAAGTATGTTTATATTGCGTCTAGTGTGTTTATGTCAGTCAGTGGTGCCAGCTCAGAAAAATTAAATTCACCAGATCTGAACCTAAAGTTGACAGGTTTGATCAAATTTTTGTAATACTGTCGAAGGCTTTCGTTTTTTTTTATAAATCTGCTCAAAAAGCCTCGAAAAAGTTATTTGAAAAGCATGCTAAAACACAAAATAATGATATGATTTGGTGTGTGTGTTGCATGTCGCAAAAAAACTGTGATTTTACTTAAAAAAAGCTAGTAGTAGTAACACCATTTTCTCTGGTTCAAAAATGAAAGCGAAACAAGTAAAAAATTTGATAATTTTTTAACGAATTTTAGAAAAACTTTATATTTTAAAAATTTGCTTAACGTAAAATTGACACTAGTTTTGGACTAATTTGGTAAATTTTTGGTTTGTTTTTAAAGAAATCTTGAAAAATAATTCTGTTTCTACCTAAAAAACGTACTACAATGCTCCGAAAACGACCAAAATATGATACTTTCGACTCATTTTAGCGTTATTTTTGATTCTGTTCATTGAAATCTCATCAAAAAACAAAATTATTTACTTTACTAATTTGATCGTTTTTTTTTTGACTTATTTTTGCGAAAATTTGGCAAAATAAAAAATACCAAGATTATGATTTAAATTTTTCTAATTCAGTCGAAGCTTTACAACTCGCAAATCTACTCAAAAACGTGCTTAAAGGCTTCAAAATAATAACTTGATTTGTGTTTTTTTGCTTCGTTTTTACAAAATAATCTTGCAAAAAATTGTGACTTACGACTTAAAAAAGGTAAAACGACAAAATTTCGCTCAAAAACGAGCTTAATCGAATAAAACAAACGAAAAAACATCAATTTAGGTCCATTTATGTGATTTTTCAGCGTGTTTGGGTAAGATTTTGTGAAATAAATTTGCCTCTGGTTCAAAAATGAAAGCGAAACAAGTAAAAAATTTGGTAAATTCTGTTTCTACCTAAAAAAACGTACTACAATGCTCCGAAAACGCCCAAAATAGGATACTTTCGACTCATTTTAGCGTTATTTTTTATTCTGTTCATCAAAAAACAAAACTATTTACTTTACTGATTTGGTGTTTTTTTGGCTTATCTTTACAAAAATTTGGCAAAATTTCAAGATTATGATTTAAATTTTTCTAATTCTGTCGAAGCTTTTCAACTCGAAAGTCTACTCAAAAACATGCTTAAAGGCTTTAAAATAATGACTTGATTTGTGTTTTTTTTTGCTTCGTTTTTACAAAATCTTGCAAAAAATGTTGACTTCAGACTTAAAAAAGGTGAAGTGACAAATTTCGCTCAAAAACGAGCTAAATCGAATAAAACAAACGAAATAACATCAATTTTGGTCTATTTTTAGGCAATATTCTTCAAAATATATGAATCTCTGTTGCAAAAAGAGACTAAATCGAGCGAAAAAATATCAATTTTGTAAATTTTCAGTCACTGTTACCAAACTTTTGTATTTTGAAACAAAAAAAGCACAAATAACGCTAGTTTTGGCTTAATTTGAGAAATTTCCGCTTTGTTTTTACCGAAATTTTGCAAAATTGTGCTGTTTCTAGCTGAAAAACGGCCAGAAAAAGACCAAAAAATGTATTTTTTGATACAATTTAGCGATTTTTTGACCTTGTTGAGTGAAATTTCATTAAAAAAAAACTATTTCTTGATTTTTTGACTCAAAAAATACATAGTGTCATTTTGACGTAATTTATTGAACGTTTCATAATGATTGACATCTCGGTGGGCTTTGAGAGTGTAAACCAGACTTTAATTTTACTTCCAAAAAAAGTATTAATGTGTTCTTTAGATCCTGATAAATCATAAAAATGACATTTCTGTTGAATTTTCTCTGAAAAAATAACATAATTTTTTGTCGAAAAGAAATGTGGAAAAAACGTAAAATTAGGAGAGATCAAGCACAAAAACCACTTAAAAATATGACGTACCTTCAACCTCAGTGGGTGCAATGGTACAAAAATAAACAACCTAGAACTCTCAAAGTACAAATGTTGCCACCTTAAATTTGAATTTCCATGACCTACCGAGATGAAGAACGCTCTATCTATACTGTTATCAATAATAAAAAAATCAAATTTTGTTCCTTGAGACTGCGCAAAAAAGTTAATTCTATTGAACGTTTGGGCGAATACTCGATTAAAAAATAAAATAACTGTAACTGCAGTTACATTCCTAAAAATTCATCAGATATTCGAATTTTTACAAGTTTCCACCAAATCACTAGAGCGGCATAAAAATCACCAGATCTGGTGACTTGGCAACAATGATGTTGGTAAAATTCCTTAAAAACGCTCTTTTTTGTTTAAAATCCCTTCTTAACTCCCATTTTATTGTGATACTTGTTAATTTCAGAGAATTCTCTAGTTATAAGTTGGAAGATGTTTACAGAAGACTGACTTCGAAGGAACCGCTCAGGTCACATGAGGCCGAAGGCGATGTTGTGATGCTAGTCACATGTGCGGCGGTTTATGGAGAAAAATTCACCAAATTTGCAAACGAAAAATCGGTTAAATTGACAGAAATACCGGTCATGAAGCCCGGCACAAAAATCGGCTCGTAGTGATTAATTTTTTACATTTTATTTATATTATGTGTATTTTAGAGTGCCTTGATTTTTACCAGAAAGATTATTGATATGTAAATGTAGCATTTTATAGTTTTCACTTATTTATTAATATAAAGATGATGAATAAAAATATTATTAAAGAATGGCACAATTTGAGGGTTGTACTGCAGGTAGCGCCTTTGCCATTGCGTCTTCCCCATTAATATACATCTGGTATTCATCCTTGGTCACTAAACCAAAACAAGAGATACATAATAATTTTTTTTTTGATACTTACGCAAATGTTTTGCCACGGTCATTGGATTATTTTCAATATCTCTGATAATGTAACCGATTCGGTTACTGATATTGAACAAAGTCGCTGCATCTATGTGTCCAATTAAATTGTTATTTCTGCACCAGTAATAGGGAATTTCCCCCTCTGCGATAAATTCCCTGTACTCTCGCAACGTTGTCATAAAAACTTCATTCAAGGGTTTGTTCCAAAAACTGTGATCTTTCTGAGCAATAATATGGAGAAAAACTGTTTTGATGTAATAACTAGCAATGTTAGGATGTGTCGTCTCCTTCAGTTTCTTTATTAAAAAAATAATTTAAGAATGTCAAGTATCAAGTTTTAACTTCACCTTGATTAGCTTAACGGCCGGTTTTAACCGATTTTTATTATCAATTAGCACCCTTTCCTGCTCCTGGAAAGACAGTCGCCAGTAGCGTCCCTGGGGATTCACCTGTTGTGACGGTTTCTTCGGAACAATGAAAAATTCCGGCTAAAATTCGCAGTTAAACAATTTTTAGTCTTGCGTTAAAATTTACTTTTGTTGAAGGACAGGGATTACTTCTGTAGCCATTAATCGGCCATTTATCGCCCCCAAAAATAAAACACGCGACTAAATCAACGTCCATAATTTTCCCCCCTGAACTGTGAAAAATTTCCAGTGTCATCGCGGGGCCCCCTTTCCTCCATTTAATCTAAACAAAACAAAAAATTTATTTAGTTAAATCGTCCATTTTGTTGTATTTACACAAAACGTTCCAATTTCGTTTGTCACGTTTCCCCAAGGTAATTTGTTTAGAGTTTTCTGGACGAGGCTTTCCATCCATTTGAGGGTTTTCCCGGTGTCTAGGAAATCGCAATTGTCCAGGAATTTTTTTCGGAAGTCTTTGTAAACTCTCCCTTCTGGTTGTCTCAACCACCCGTCAAGATTGTTTAATTTAAGCCAGACAAACCCCGGAATATTGCTTTCTTGTAAAGTGGGTTGTGCATAGGTGGGGATGTGCAAAAGTAAGTCCAAATCGAATTCTACGGGCTTCCCTACCCGCAAACCGTCGTAGAAACTCCCCCCGTAGAAAACCCTTCGAAAAAGAGCCTCAAAAAGAGGATCTTGGGTCTTCATGACGTCAACAAATGTCCGCAACACCTGCAGGATGAATACAGTAGAAAAATACAGTTTTTTGATTGGATTATGTAATAGATATTTACAGATTCTAGTATTTGTTTATTTCCTCGAACATCTTCCTCTGGAAGGGATATAAATCTCCTGTTGATGTCGGTCAAGATGTTTTCCATTTTCACAATAAATAAATAAAAAACGAATATCTACCTATAATATTAATTTCACAAAGTGTGGCCCTGAAAGATGTGGGAATATGCAGTTTCAATGTTAAAAATAGAACAACACAAAAAAACAAAATAAATACGACTAAATACGAAGAGTGTGTCTGTTGGTAAAATATTTGAAAGTACAGAGTGGTTATAAATGATTTTCATCTAGCCAGCTTTGGAATTTTTTTGCATGTAACTTTATTTGTGCCGCTCTACTTTTTTGAAAGCTCTAGTTCTGTCATTAGTGTCACTTATTAATTAATACTAAATTGTTGTTAATTAAACTTTTATTGTTTCAACTAATTTCCAATAATAATTGATAATAATGTATACTTTGGAAGAAAACAAGTTTATAATTGAAGTCTATTTTCGAAGTGGACGCTTAGTAAACGGCGTTTTTTTAAATTTTGAGTTAAAACAAGTAGGTACCCCTTTTTCGTAAAGCGGCATTTTTTATTTTACATGGAAAATTCACAGCTGGCTAGATGAAAATCATTTATAACCACTCTGTATTTTTGTTATGTCGTTGATTACACGAATCAAAAAAATGGTGTAATTCTCGATTATTGAATTGTTTCTCGTCACAATATGGATTAATCTTGATAAGATTATGGTGATTTTGAGAATTGTAAAAAATGCGTTTCGGACGAGTCCATTTTAAAAAAAAGAGAGGTTAAAGGATTATAGCGTGAAAATTCCCTTAATTAAATAAAATAAATTGATTGGTTGATGGGGCACCAACATAAAATAATAACCAATCACAGTTGAAGTCCGATTTAATACAGTAGCGGACACGGAATTTTGGACCTTAAATTTATGTCAGTTCAAAAAATGTCAATGTAAGCCACGCTTTATTGTCAATCATTATGTTTAACGTTTGGAACTAAAATTCGGAAATTTATTTTTGGCGTCGATTTTTCGAAACAATAATGCCAGCAATACGTGTTTTTATATAAGTTTAATAAATTATTTAGATTTGTTGTCATTTTTTTTCTAGCTATCAGGATAAAAATTACAAAAAGTGAAAGTGAGGGTAGTTGCCTAAGGGCCGTTTACATTTTTATGTCAGTCGAATGACAGTGTATGTACAGTGGCGGTCATTGAAAAGTAATACACAGAATTTTGACACATCCTCTCAAAATTTAAAAAAATGCATAATGTAATTTTTTCTTTGGCGTGATTGTCAGTGTCAATGAAAACGTCACTTTTGACAAATTGTCGAATGTACAGAAATCTATTATTATACAAGATTAAGGGACAATTTCCCTCTACGAGTCATCGCAGGAGAAATAAATGTGAACAAAATGACTGTACTTAAAACAAAAAAGAAGATTCTATTGACATTTTAAACATGACAGTGGTTGTCAATTTCAAGGGAAAATTTACAAGGCCAAAATTTTTTTTATTTGTCAAGTGTATTACTTTTCAGTGGCCGCGACTGTAGAACAAACATCGAAAATAAAATTAAGATTTTCCAAATTAATGCCAAAATCACTGTCGTTATGATTAAAAGGAATAAAAATATAAGCAATATAAAAATAAATTAAATCTGACCTTTGGTAATAAAACAATGTTTTTGTAATTTTTGTTGTTGCTTTATAATGGATTGAAAACAACTTAAAAATTTTGATGTTTTTATTGAAAAGTAAAAAAATCCTTAGTTTTTTGAAAAAATTTGAAAAAAATTCTTTTCACTCATTATCTTTCATGCTTTAATATTACCGCAATACGTCCCGTCTTGGTGTGTACTTTTAACTTTTACCTCATTCTACACACATTGAATTTTTCAACACTTTCATGAATAACTATTATCGTATATTTAGTAACTGTAATCGTATCAACAAGAAATTTCTCCCTAGGATTTTGGGATATTCGTGAATAGGTTGCCATAAATTTGATTAGGTTGGTTTGTAGTGACAAACAAAAGTATCATCGTAACTAGTGTCAAAAATTTAGGTTACGTTACCTGTCAGGTTGTATAGATAACTCAACTGAAAGTTGACAAGAGCAAAAGGTAACCAATCCTAGGCATTCAAAATTACTTCTGAAAATTCTAGTTACGAACAACATGAAAAACGTAATTTTCCTAAAAATTCAAATCCTAGGTGGTAATTTCGTGTTGACAAATCTTGAAACAAATGTCATTTAAAAAATTATTAATTTATGGCTGAGAACTGCTGAGAAGCCCCAGGGTTTTGAACGCATTTTAGTTTTTTCAATAAAAAATTCTTTCTACGTTATAGCCATACAACTTTACAAATTCACTAGATTTCCAAAATAGATATTTTTTTTATGGTATTTTTACAATTTTATTAATAACGCAAGATTCCCTAATTTTTTTTTAAACGGAATATAAAGTCCAAAAAAGAAAAAAAACTACGGTGCGATAGAAAAAAAAAATTAGAGTAGGCGGTGATTAAAATTCTTCAAATGGCAATTCTGATTTTTGACTTCAAATGTCACTTGCGTTTTATTCATTTTGAGTGAAATAATGTTCGCTTAAGAGCAAAAATTTTTTATCAAATTATTACAAAAACGGTAAATGATCATTTTCATTTACAGTTTGTGTGGAAAATTTCCTGCAAAATTGTTGCCAACAGAATATTAACCGTCGCCTCCTCTTATTTATTGTTTTTTGATCGCACGGTATTATAAAAAAAAACTCATTACATAACCTAAAATATAAAAAATATAGAAAAATTACTTTGCAAACTCAATCCAACAACAGTGATAACCTTTTTGCAAAATTATTGTCGTTTCCGGCCCCCAATTTGGAATTTAAAAAACGTTATTTTCTTTTGGTTGGCACCCATGAACTTGTTGCGCTGACGCAGTAATTTAAAACCGAAAATGTTTGAATTAACCTCACTTTTTCATTTCTAATTTCCATTGTTTAAGTTAATTAAAATAAACATGACACAGGTAATGTCACTAATTCGACCACCAGTTATCATTTTCTCGCTTTTTCCAGATTGTTAAAAGCAAAATCGACCAGGCTTGTCGGGTGGCTGAAGAGTTCACAAAACTGTATTACGAAACGTCGGACAAACGCCGCCACGTAATTTTCAGTTTCAGTTGCGTAAAACCGTTTCAATATTTGTTTCAGTTGATGTCTAAATTGTACTTGGATTCGGGTCTCTTGGCTTGGAACGGTAATGGAGTCAGTGGTAATGAGCGAATCCAGAAGTTTTTCATCGACTTGCCCACTTCTGACCACATAATTAACACTCTTGACGCCCAACCTGTCTTGGACTCGGCCGTCAATGGGCAACTCACGTTCATGATTCAAGTCAGTGGCACAGTTAGGTACCAAGACAGGATCCCCAAATCCTTCCAGCAGAATTTCATAATCACGGCACAAGGAGACAAGTGGAAAATCGTGAGCGACTGTTTCCGCCTCCAGGAACCCCTAACCAACGACAACAAATAAGTTGAAAGTCCATTTATTCCGTTTCATAAAAACAACAGGTATAAAATCCTTAAGCTACATTGATATTAAAAGCAAAGCGTAACAACCAGATTAATATGTACAAATAAATAAATGAGCAAATTAAACAAATTTCAGTCTCAAGGGTTCGCGAATTTGGACATTGTAATCAAAGGAATGTGCTTTCTAAATCAGTTCGGTGACAAAAACTGACCCACATTTAACATTAAATTTGTCCCAAAATGCGACAGATCTCTGACCTAAAACCAAAACAATTCTAATTTTGTTCTTCTGGGGGTACATTCGCGGCGTCTAGCTCCGGCAGCCCTCCCACAGCCCCCTCATCATTATCCAACGGTGCCAAATCCGAAATTGTCACAGCTACGATGGGATTCCCCCGAGCGTCCAACTCCAAGGCCGGATCAGCGGTGGCTTCTGCCAGATTTGTGACACTTTTGGATTTGACACACTGGAAATCGACATGGCGACTTTTCGCCTCCTCCTTTTCCCAAGACATGTGGATGAACGGTCTTTGGACGTAATTGTAGATCACTTCGGCTCGGCCCCCAGGGCGCTTCTTCACTTTTTCTTTATAAGTTGGATAACCTTCGATTCCGAGTCGAATCTTCTTCAAACCTCGATCTTTTAAGACTTGTTTAGCCACGTCTCTGTTTTCTATATATTTGAAAAATCGGTACATGGCAGTACTGTTGACGGTTTGACTGTACTCTTCGCCCATTTGAGGGGGGTATTGGTCGTCCCAGTCGACGGTGTCATCGTCCAAAAGAACGACAATGTGACACTCGCGGTCCCCCCTTTGGGCGGAATTCACCATAAGGGGGAGGATGAGCTCCTCGAGGAAGACCTCGAATTGGCAACGGGCACCTTCGTTGGACAGCTCGTGCAGCAGCCCCCCTGGAAATTTGGATAAATCTAATAAATTTTTTGCTACTTAACGTTGAAAACTGACCCAATAATTTTTTATGCACTTTTTTGAGTCTTTAGTACCTCGAGAGATGTAAAAATCGATTTTAAGCTTGAATTTTTTTTTTGTTTTTTGTCGTGATTTTTATCGATTTTTGGCACCCGGAGCGGTTTATTGCCAATAACTCCGGACTTATTGGTGGTGATAACCTCTTATGTTTGGTACCGTTGGAAAGAAAATTTAATCTTCTATCATATAAAAAAAGATCAGTGTTCTACGATAAATAGTTGTCGAGAAAATTTCTGATAAAGTCAAAAATATCGAAAATATAAATTCGACTATAACTTGAAAATTATTACGAATTTTGCAGTTTTCTTGACGCCAATCGATTCCCCGGAACATTTTTACATATGTCTACGTCAATTGAGGTACAGTTTTGCTGCAATTTACAAAATAAAAAAAAAGCAAAAATTTGTTAAAATTAAAAATTAGTGTTTTTGAAAATGTCTCAGATTCAATTTAAACCTATCTTATCCGATAGATTTTGACGCGCTGATTACGAATTTGCCAAGCATTTTGCGCTATCTCCTCTAGTTCCGCCGTAATCGTCGTTCAAAAAGTAAACATTTTCAAAATTGTGAAACTTTAAATGCGTTTTTCTACGAAATTATAAGACAGAGCAAAAAACTAAAAACCATTAAAATCTACTTGAAATTATCTATCTAATGGCGCAACCGAAAGTCGCTCCGGGTTATAGTTCCGGGTACAGACCCGTTTTTTTTTTTTTCATAAAAAAGTCATATTTCAATATCTGAGTCCTAGATCAAAACGGTTTGTACAAGCGTATTCTCTGGTTAAGGTTGAACTATACTGAATAAAAAAATTAATCGTTATTTAAAAATTCTGAAAAAAATATAACTTTTTGATCGCTTTAGCAGCAATATATACAAATTTGAATTTTTTTGTCCGTGCCGTTTAAAAATAAATTTAAAAAAACCTCTATTTTTGGCCATTTTATTTTTTTATGAAAAAACTGTACGGAAGAATTTTTTGATTTATTTTTGGCGTATTGTATTACATACAGTACTAGTTTTTCATAAGATCAAAAAAAAATCCTTTTTTTGGTCAGAATTGAATGTTTCTAGCCTTATTTTTAAGTTTATATTACTCAATATCTCAAAAACTAATTTTACATCTAGAAAACCATATTATAGATAGATTTTATTTTATTTATTTACGATTTTTTTATTACCGAAAAACTCAAAAAATTCGTAATTTTTTAAACTTGGCCCAATAATGTTTTATGCATTTTTTTGAGTATTTAAGGCCTCTAGGAATATAAAAAACGTAACGGAACAATTTGAAAGTTGAATTTTTTTAATTTTTGTCGAGATTTTGGCCGATTTTTGGCATCCGGAGCGGTCTATTGCCAATAACTCCGGACTTATTGGTGATAACCTATTATGTTTGGTACCGTTGGAAAGAAAATTTAATTTTCTATAATATACAAAAAAGATCAGTGTTCTATGATGAATAGTTATCGAGAAAATTGCTGATAAAGTCAAAAATATCAAAAATATAAATTAGACTATACAGTAAAATCGTTTTCCTAAGACCTACTAAAAATTTTATGACACATTATAAGGGATTAACCAAACAATGGCTTGAATTTGTAACCCTCCATAAATGCCACGTTCCTTTGTAAGTGTTGCTGCACCCACTAGAATAAAACAGGGGCGTATTTAAAACTAAAGTACATAGTGGTCTATCATTAAAAAAAAAAATCAGCTTTATTTAATAATAGCTTGTTAATAACCACCTGGCTTTTTTAAATTTCTTAAAATACTTGACTTTTATAACAACTACATCAAAAACTATTCAAACATTTCAAGTATTTTAGACAAAAAAAGTAAGTAATCCGGCTCTGTTAAAAAATGACCTGTTTCAGGGTCCGGGTGGGTTCCACTAATTTATGATTTATTTACCCCCTGGTTTACTCTTAATAACACCGCATTTAACTTAAAAGTAATAAATTTTTAGTAGGTCTTAGGAAAACGATTTTACTTTAACTTCAAAACTATAATGAATTTTGCATTTGTCTTGACGCCAATCGATTCCCCGGAACATTTTTACATGTGTTTTTAAATATTACATCATTGAGGTACAGTTTTGCCGCAATTTACAAAATAAAAAAAGCCTTATAAAATGGTGTTTTTGAGCATGTCTCAGATCCTATTTAGTTGATTACGAATCTGTCGAGCTTTTTTTTCTCTAGCTCTTTTAGTTTCACCGTAATCGGTGTTTAAAAAATAAAAATTGTCAAAATTATTTAAAGTAGAATTTTGTTTTTGATTTTTGACGAGATTTTTGTCAATTTTCGATTTAAACAGTAAAGAAACAAAAGCTTTAAATGAGGTTCTGCAAAATCTTTTTACATTTTTTTTTGAATTATTTCAATGAGTGGTTTTTTCATTTATGATAAGTTTGTCGGTTTTACTTCATCCATTTTGCGTTTTTACGTGTTTTTGTACTGCTTTTAAACAAATTTCTTATCGAAAGATAACAGTAATTATTTCAACGTCACATTTTGAACAAATAAAGAACGTTAATTTTTTGCTTCTATTTATAGTTTTCTGCAAATAATTTGCTTACTTAAATTTTGGCAGCGAACGGTGTTGGCATCAAAAGGCACCAGCAAGTAATCACAAGCCTCTCTCAGCTCTTGCACCGAGACAGACGGGGGACACTTGATGAGCCCCCCCTTGTAATACTCCAAAATGGCCCTAAAAATCGTAGCAGGAATCCCATCAGCGACCTCAAACTCGCCTCTTTCATTCGCTTGCGTAAACTCGAGATTTGAACTGAACATTCGGCCCAACATGGTATTGGGATGGGCCGTGAAGAGGGCCGGATCCACCACAAACCTCGTGTTGTCCACTACGAGAGTGACTCGATCGTCGCTGACACTCGTGGGGGCCGAAACGGAGGCGTTGGCTGGGGTCTTGTTGGGGGTCAGGACGTTGCGACTTCTGCAAATGTTTAGTTTAGGGTTGGGGTTGGGCGAAAGACAGCCCTCTTGCCTATTGCGAGGCGGATTGTGACATTGCTTAGGCGTAGCTACAGAGTGGCACCGGGGGTCCGATAGGGACGCTGAACGTTGCACAAGGCACGGTTTCGGCTTCGAACACGATCCATAACTACGCAAAGCAATATTATAATTAATCATCAAGGAACGAGGCACTCTCACAACTGAAATATTTCGTTGAGTTGAGACAATGGATTTTTCTCATGGTCTCACTTTCACTCATCGGAATGCGAGTTTTGCCTCGGTTTTCCGCCCTTTTGAGAAGGGGGGAATTTTCTCACCTTAGACGGTTTTTGAAAACTCTGCGACGACGGTCATCGGTGTAGTCTTCGGTGTCACTGCTGGTGTCGTTATTGTTGTAAAGATGGCGATCGCTAGCTCCTGCCATTTTTACACGAGGTAATAAACACTTCACAAATACATAAATGTAATCAGCACAATTGTAAATTTCTCTGGAACCGAGCCAGTACATAGAACTAAATACAAAGACATACAACAGTGACAGGAGTGACAGTTCCCAGGTCACGGGATGAAGTTAGACGCACTTTCTACAAGTGTGCCAACCGAATGAAAATCAACGCAAATTTGCGACAGCCAGTGGCGTAGGTGCTAGTTTAGGGTGCATTTTTGCATTCTAGTGACGACTTATATTAGATTCTTCCGGCTAGCGGCCGCGCTTTTAAAATTGACTGTAAAATTGTGACATTTCAATTTGATAGTCAATGTTGTCAAACTAAAATTACGTTTTTCATGTTGTTTGTAACTAAAATTTTCAGAAGTAATTTTGAATGCCTAGTGTTGGTTACCCCTTGTTGTTGACGGTTGACGTTTTCTGTCAACTATCAATTGAGTTATCTATACAAACTGACAGGTGACTTAACCTAAATTTTTGACACTAGTTACGATATCTTTTGTTTGTCACTAAAAACCAACCTAACCAAATCTATGGCAACCTATTCACGAATATCCCTAAATCCTAGGGAGTAATTTATTGTTGATACGATAATAGTTTTGATTATTTTACTGATAGTATCATTTTATTTAACATTATCTAATGTCTGTTAGCGACATCATTTCGGATTAGAGGGGATCAACTAAAATAAAAATATAATCGTTCAAAAATAATGAAGTCGCGGTCAATTCATAGTGGTCATTTAATTTATTGCAAAGTTGGCAGCCCCTGGGCTGCTACTTTTAGTGTGTGAATTGTGTCTATGTTGGTAGCTGAAGTAACTAAATTGGGTCAACAATTGTGACAGGCGCAATAGATTTTTCAGAATTGTCATTTTTGATAGATATGTCCCTAAAAAAACAATTGGATGTTTAAAGTGGGATTTACACAACTCAAATTTTATAAATTTACACAGGGAAGTGGCCACTATGAATTGACCGCGACTTTATGTATTTACACCATTTTTTTTAGTTCCAAAAAGTTACTAATGTGAACATTCTTTAGATCGCGACACGTCATAAAAAATGACATTTCAATTGAAAATAACATACCTGATTTGTACAAAAAAAATGTGGAAGAAAAGTGAAACAGCAAAAAAAAGATTAAGCACAAAAAACACTTAAAAACAACAAATGTCAAATTGTACAGTTACAGAATTAAAATTTCGGGCAGTATTTATCTATCCTTTCAAAGAGTTCATTGTAAACTACAGAGTGGTTATAAATGATTTTCATCTAGCCAGCTGTGAATTTTCCATGTAAAATAAAAAATACCGCTTTACGAAAATAGGGGTACCTACTTAAAAAATCGCCGTTTACTAAGCGTCCACTTCGAAAATAGACTTCAATTATAAACTTGTTTTCTTCCAAAGAATACATCATTATCAATTATTATTGGAAATTAGTTGAAATAATAAAAGTTTAATTTACAACTATTTATTATTAATTAATAAGTAACACTAATGACAGAACTAGAGCTTTCAAAAAAGTAGAGCGGCACAAATAAAGTTACATGCAAAAAAATTCCAAAGCTGGCTAGATGAAAATCATTTATAACCACTCTGTACTTTTTACTGTCATCATGACATTTGACAATTAAACTTTTCTGTCGCTGACGCTATTTTTGAAAGTAAATAGGTAAGTCAAAATGACAAGAGTAAAAAATGAGGTTATTAGTAAAGGTTGTTTTAGAGTTTACATTATGAAAATGACAATACTGCCCGAAATTTTAATTCCGCAACTGTACAATCGTACAAAATAAACAACCTAGAACTTTCAAAGTATAAATGTTGCCACCACAAATTTGAATTTCATGACTTATTGAGATGTCAATCGTTTTAAAACGTTCTATACTTAGGTATACTGTAATAGCAGTGATAGACTATACATCTATACACAAATATTTTTAATCTTAAAGAAACAAACAGAAAAAAAATTAAAATATTGTGTACACGCCTACACTGGCGGACACGGAATTTTGGACTTCAAATTTATGTCAGTTCAAAAAATGTCAATGTAAACCACGCTTTATTGTCATTATGATTGACGTTTGAAACTAAAATTTGAAAGTTTTAGTTGAAATTTATTTTTGGACGTCGATTTTCCGAAACAATAATGCCAGCAATACGTGTTTTTATATAAGTTCAATAAATTATTTTGATTTGTTGTCATTTTTTCTCTCGCTCTCAGGATAAAAATTACAAAAACGGAAAGTCAGGTTAGTTGTCTAAGGCCCGTTTTACATTTTTATGTCAGTCGAATGACAAATCGTCCAAAATTTCGTCTCCGCCAGTGTATGCTAATGTCACATGACCAAATTTGACAGTAGTAGCTTTTGAGAAGTTGTTACAGAAAGCAAATATTTAGAATATAAGATAAAACAAAATGTGTAATGTCGTACAGCTGCAATAATACAATAATAAATTTGTTAAATATCGTATTTTTTAAATTTTGCTTTAGTTTAGGTTCAATGCAGCCAACATAAAAGTTTTGAGTGTAATAATCAAACATATTCACATTCACATCCATCAGAACTTTTTCTCCAATTAGCATCATAAGTTCATTGATTTAATTGTTGTTTTAGACTTTTTTAAATTAGTATAAAATGATTGTATAAAAATGCGCTGATTGTAGTCGAAACATTTTTAAAAATTGAATAACTTTCAACCCGCACGCCACTGTTGGAGTCATTCACCACCTTCGCGACTAACTTCACACCCGTAGTTTAACTGTAAAATGACAGTTCAAGGCTGTTCTAACAACCGCCAACAGTACTGCACTTGCTCCAAGAGTTTCAACAATTTCGCATTGGCATTCCGTGTTTAGCACTCACAGAGTCTTGTTGTTTCGTGTGCGACAACTTTCAAAAAGTTTTAGAAAAAACATTGTGTGTCCCTCGTGCGGTATGCTCTACTAGATCCACCGAATTCGAAAATTAGGCCTCCAAATTTGAGGGTGAGTGTTTTTTGTGTAGTGCCCCCATTCAAGAAATAGAAATTAGAAACGACCCAAGTGTGGATTTAGGTCACGAGTTAAATAAAGCTCTTAGGTGTTGTTCTTGTTGGGGGAAGTGAAACCATATGAGTGCCACATAATCTCAAGAGGCGTCTTAATTGATAAAATTTGATTAGGAGTAGTAAACAAACAAAAGGTTGAGTCGCGAATCGACCAATCAAATCGAGCACGTCCAACACTCCCACGTCCAAATTCAAGTGTTTGGACTTGAGTAATGGCATAAAATCGGGTGTTTAATCACTGTGTCTTTCAAATAACTTAACTTCCTCAATTTTGACTTGGTGGGTTTTCGGTGAGTGATAATTTTTACAAGCCCCGACCTTTGGACTGTAGTTTGGACTTTGAACTGTTTATTTATGACAGTTATTGCGCTCTCCTACACGCGAACCGAAAATTCGCCTCCTCAAAAACTCAAAATTTTGCTCGATGTTTCTATTTGTTGTTCAAAAACCAGCAACGTCAGTGTCTGAAGGTTGAGATTTTCATAAATAACAAGTTTGTTCAATTGACGTCATCGCTCTTATTGTTTATTTGTTTGGCAAAACGTTTTAGGTAGTATTTTTTTTATTTTATGAAAGTTGAGTCAGTTGATAAGCTTTCACGGTTTTACATGCTTCATGAATGAAAGTTGGGCTAATTGTGTTTGTATTTGGGTTATGAAAATGTGCAGATGGTGATTCTGGTTCAGTTTTATTCAAAAGTTGATTGAGTACTTGTGTTTGGAATGTGATAAAACTATTGTTCGGTTTTATGGACGAGTATTTGTTCAAAATTTGACTAAAGGGTCAAGAAATCTAACACGTGTTTTAAAGACTAGTTAAAAAAACAATTTTTTACACAATTATTGCAATTTTAAAATTATTGGCTTTTTAGTGGAGTACATAAAATTTTTACTTTCATTTCATTTTTTTTTTTATAATGTTGACAACCCTGTGCCTGTAACTCAAACTAATGTCATTTTTTGACATAACTTTTTGTATAGTTATTGACAACGTGTATACATATACTTTTACCCAAAGAAATCTTAAAATTGAAGTACATATTTTTTAAACATTATTTTATTCACAATCATCAAATTACCTTGCATATGAAAAGTTTGGAAAGTATACAATTTAACAATTGATATGAAATATGACAGTTCAGGTTGGGAAGTCAATTTTCGGGTCGGGAAGTAACCATTTTCCAACCTGTTTTTTCAATTTTTGAGTTCAGGACTACATTAATAACATTTTTATTGTTGTAATTTCTAAGTTATGGGCTTTTTCACGTTTAACATATAATATTGGTTTTTCTATACATACTAAAAATCATGATTTAGAAATTCGTTATTATTTTTTATTGATTTTTATTTGTTTTTTTTTATAATGTTTTTGTGTCATTTTTTATAACCAGCTTAACAATTAATTAGTAGGTATGTAATTTATATCTGTCAAAAATGTTTTATGTTTTTTGAGATACATACAGCGTGATGTAAAAAACTGCAATTTTTATTTATGGCCCGAATATAAAAATGAAAAAAATTATTCTGCTAAAAATTCTTGTTTAAAAATTATCAAAATTAAAAAAATAATAATAAAAGTTATAAAAATCTAGTTGCTTGGTGTCAATAAAAAAATTGACGGTAACAATAATCTTATTAAAAAAATAAATTAATAACACTAAATTAGATGTTTTTCTGCTTTGTTATAGATTTATTATTGTTATTTCTTATCAGTTTTCAATATTTTCTTTAATTTGCTGTTTTTTGATATTACAATAATGGCATTGTTTTTATTTGACACATGTAACTAGATTTTATTATTTTTTTTTTACAACCTTGATATTTTTTTAAACAATAATTTTTAGTAAAGGTAGAAGATTTTCCACATGTATGTACTAAGAAAAGTAATATCTTTCGAATTATGAAAAACAAATATAGGTTCCAATTTAAAATTAAAAAGTTGAGTATAGCCCAAAATATACTGACATTTAGAAAAATTCTAAAATTGTCAGCTTTTACTAAACTAAAAGCCATTTAATTATTTTTTTTAATTCCTGAAATCGGACCACAAATAAAAAATTTACAGTGCTTGCCGTTTTTTTTTAAATCACGCTGTATATAGGGTAATTCAAATTTTTTTAGGTAGTTACAGGTGCAAGTTCATGTTTTTTTTATACAAATATTTTAAATTAAATGTTTCACTTTAGTGAAAATCTAATCAAAAATATTTTTGTTGTGGATGTTTTGTTAAAAAGTTCACAATTTCTTGATTAAAAATCTCAATAAAAACATGTTAAATTGAGTGAAGAATTTAATTATATTGTTCTTTTAATTAGCAGGTCTACAGTTTTTAAAATTTAGGTTGTTTTATCTGAAAACAGATAAATTGATTGATTACTTGAATCTTATTCAATTCACTTTAACCTTGAGAAATATTTTTATATTTCTGCGCAAATTGAGAAAAAAGTTACTTAATTTCTACACACTTATCACCTTATCACTCTGATTATCAATTTTTTTGATTCACCGGAGAATATTTATGTTAATTTTTCAGTACAATTTTTTTAAACGTTTAAAATTGGAAAACTATGCACTTTCTAGTGGACGTAGGAATCCGTAACAATAACATTTCACTCTCCAACCTTAAGTAAATGATCATCATTAATGTGGTTTTAATTATTTACCTATTAATTTATGTAATTAGAAGCTTTCATGTCCGAAAGCGCTTCCAAATTCCAAGGTTTCGTCAAGGTACATATGTTACGTTTTTCCAATTCATTTATGCGACAAATAATCCATTATTTGAATCGCAAGGTTAACCTGGATGAGTTTCCATTGAGGGGAAAAAAATAAAAATATCTCCACATGTCGACCTTCAAATCACAAATTCCGACGATTTCCTCTTTTTCTTATTTGTTTTTATCAGCAAACGCGTCATTAAGGGTCATGCGGTCCAAGTTCATTTCTGTTGCAAAGGTCAACAAAAATTTCGAAAAATCACACCCACTTTGGAAAATAATAAGGTGAACAGCCTCGTTGATACTCCTGTTTACTTAAACAAAGGTCAAATCCTTGTTTACATATAATGGCTTTCTGGTTCACAATTTTCAAACTTCCAGCAGTGGCGGCTCGTAGTCTTTTTTTAAAAAGCGTCAGATTTTTTTTTATAAAAAAATTGAAATGTACAGGGTGCGCCAGAACTCGCGCCTCAGAAAAAATTTTGAAGTAAGGTAAGATACCAGGAACACGGAAAAACTGTCTAAAAAATTCTATCTGTCAAAAAATTTTGACATTTGACATTTTTTTATGTGTATTTAATGATACTGATGATCTTGTATATGTTTTTTTACAATTATTTAGTAAAGGTACAAAAATTTTGCCAATAAAAGCCACACATAACATTGAACAGAGTTACAATTTTGGATACAGCTTCCTTGTTTCCTCTTTTAATAGCTCATAGCAAAAAAACTTGGAAAATTATTTATTTTTCCAACAGTTAAAATTTTTTTTAACATTTTTTCCATATTCCTGGGATCTTACCTTTTATGGCATTTTTCTCTGGGGCGCGAGTTCTGGCGCAGCCTGTACGTGTATCTACACATGCCACATACTTGACGACTAAAAAATGATTCTTTGCTTTGCTGACCACGAAAAGCTAACTTTTAACAGCAAAGAATAATACAAAAATCGACTAACCTTTTTAAAATTTTTCAGTTTTTTTGAACGATTCTTTAAATTTATTAATTTCAATTTACGGGACCGAATCCACATTTGTGGCTATATTTTATTAACCCTGGAGATATAATCTGCTTGCTACATATGTTTTTGACTTTAAGTTTTTTTTCTATTGCCATTGATATTCTTTTTTAAGTTGTCATACCACACGACTTGAAAATGGCCAAAAAATGTTTTTTTTGTGTTTTGCTTCCAGTTAAGCACTCATATTTAATATACCAGGAATTTTCAAAACTATATTAATAATTAATTTTCCTATGACCCTAAGAGAAAGTAAGTTTTTCCACCCTAATTTCAGAAAGGAAAGTGGCCAATTACCTTTCTCATCTGTCAAAATTACAATAAAAATATATAAAACCTCTCAGGGAGGTAGAAATTTTACTTCCCCCATAGAAACTGCTATTAAGAGAAATTGTTAGTATTGAAGTTTTTCTTACTGGATCGTGGGAAAAATTATATTCATTTTTTTGCAATCTTGGATTATCGTTGCAAACATGGGCGTCGTTACAATTTTTTTTAGAGAGGGGCAATCTCATTGCAGTTTAAAAATACATATTTTATTATAAACACAAAAACATGTTATACAAAATAGGAACATAAAACCATATTTTTTCTAACGGAAATTATAAATGAAATCATAAGACAGGAATCTCTAAGACCATAAATTGGAGTATAAAAGTGTAAAAGTTAAAAAAATATAAAAATTATAAAAGTTAAGCATAAAAAATAACACAAATCAGTAAATAACATGAACTAATAAATACTAAGAAAAATGTAACACTTGGAAATCAAAACATAAAATAAAAACACTTTCAAAATACATTCAAAAAAACAATAATTAATAGAAAAAAAATTAAAGAAATAAAAGTTTTCAATTTCGTTTTCCTCAACCAAAATCGTCTATGATAAAAAAGTTAAAAAATGTTGCAACAAGTTGCAAAATGAGCGTCTTTTTTACTAGACGTGGGCAAAAAATAGCCATTTTAAATCTTGTTTTATACAAGATTTTTTCCAATTTGGTAGTGAAAAGCATAGGCATCAAATTAGAATTTAAAATCTGTGATTTCAATAATTTTCCAAAATCATACTAGGTCGTGGCGTTGCTATGAAAATAGTGTTATTTGTTTTCTTTATGTCACACTTTTTAACACTAGTGATAAAATAATGTCATATTTTATAACTAGTGATAAAATTAAACACATTTGACAACTAAAATGACATATCACAATGGTTGCTTTTCACAACAAAATTGGAAAAAAATAGAAAAATAAAACTTATTCCCCCCCCCCCAAACGACGCCCATGGTTGCAAATTTGACAATTGACATTGCCAGATTCAGTATTCCCGGCAAATTGAAAAATTAATTAATAAATTAATTGGATGAAGGCGCGGTGGTTTCTTTAAAACTGGTTCACTATTATAGCAAAAAAATCAACATTTGAACAAATAAAAAATTATTAAACTTAAAATTATACAAAAATTGGAATTTACGATTCAGCAATAGTAAAAATAATTTAAATTTCTAGTAAATTATTTTATTTTTTACTGGGGAGGCACAGCCACGAGCCGCCACTGACTTCCAGTACATCGTTGTACCGACTTTTATCAGAAAACAAAAGAAAATGGCCGAATACGATAACAGTTTCTGTTTTTCTTTGTACAAAGTGGCAAAAAGATGAATTTTAAAAATATATTTTTTAATTTTGAAGTAATGTCGATGAAAAGAAATTAAAAGTCTATAAGTCCTCGTACTAGAGTCAAGTTTGATAAATTATTAATGCAAAAATAATTTTACTTTGAAATAAAAGTGTTGATGTATTCAACGACATTGGGTAAATTTTGTTTTTTCTCTTATCTTTTATTTATTTTGCCTTAAATAAGAGACAATTCAGAAATGAAGGAAAAAAAATAGTTTTTTCAACATTTTTGATGCACCAAGGATTACGCAACGTTATCAAAATGATTTACAGTGTTTGTATTTCGATAATTTAGAAGAGATTATGCAAAAATACCGTATTTTGTATCTTTGTAAAAATCTAAATATGGCACAGTTTCAGGCAAAAAATAACACAATTTTTCTTCTTTCTCTTTAGAGTGAAGAAGAAGAAACATGGCGGAAGCCCATTCAGCTGTCGCTTTCTCATTTTCCATCACCCACGAAGGCTGGGATGTCAACTTCGACAGGGAAGTCCTTCACCTGGTGTGGCAATCCGGTATTCGCTCGTGGAAAAAGCGAATCGCCAGGTTTCAGGTTTGTCGTCAATTTTCCTTATTAAATACGCACAAAACCAATATAATTTGTGAGCGATGGGGATCGATAAGACTTGTGTCAACAATTGACGCTTTCAGATAATTATAATGAGAGAAATTCAACAAACGATGACTCAAATAAAAAATTATTGATTCTAATGATAATTTAACGTAGAAATTATTATTAGAAACGTTGTGTTTATTTGTAATTAACTGCTTTACGTGTTGTTTTATTTACATTGCTTATCTCTTGTTTTAACACACTTAAAATAACATAAAGCATGTGCCAAGTCTTTAAATACTCACTTGAAATATATCACTTTTTTTCACTAATCAAACATCCTTTTTGTTTTTTTTTTTTCGGTGAAAAAAATGTTTTCAAGGTCCCAATTAGGACTGCGTGTTGCCAAGTTGAATTAGCTGAAATTTCCGCCTTGGTTACGTATTATACACACACTTATCGTTTAAATGATTAAATAATCCATTTAAAAAAAGGAAAATTTTCATTGCGTATTTGCGTATCAAGATCCGTAACAGAATTGCGAAATTGTTGCGTCTGGTTTAATTGTGCCAGACATCGAAAAAATGTTATCCGGAATGAGTCATAAAATTTCTCCTGCTGTGTAAATACACTGAATAAAAAAATACTTTTTTTTTACAATTTTGCATTAGAAAAAAATCGAAAATTATTATTGTTTCTTGATTATTTTACAAATTTTTAAAGAAAAAAAATATTTCATTTTATTTTGATACAGATCATAGAATCACACTTGTTTGTTTAATTCTTTTGTAAAACTCGGTCCGAGAATAGGATGGATAGATTCATAAATTTACAGGGTTATTTGGGGTACATTTAGCTGTAAAAAAAACCTGGAAAAATTAATTATATTTGTAAATATGATGTAGATTTACTAAAACAACGAAAAAATTTTTTTTTCTCTATTCTGTAAATTAATGTTGAGCGTGAAGAAGACTGTTTTTTTTTCAAAAAATTGTAAGAGGATCTTGTAGGAAATAAAAAAAGCAAATTGAAGCTGAATGAAAAATCAATCCGGTCCCTGTATTAATTTAACTAAAAAATTTCAGTCTGTGGACCAAAAAATAAAAAACAAGGGTTTATAAAAATTTTTCCTTTTTTTAACCCTAGCTCAGAAAAATTTTCGTCAAAGGTTTTATAACTCAAAACTTGAAGCTTCTTTTTTAAAATTTTCCACATACATCTTTTCAAAAATCACCAAAAAAATTTTGAATTTTTTCCCTTTATTTTATGTAGTAGTGTATTAAATTAATTTTGCTGTTATATAACTTTTGATTATGACTAATTTAATCAAAATAATGCGGTTTTACGATAGGGAAAATGAAAGTGGAATTGCGAATTTGGGAAGATAAATATTTATTATGTTGCATTATTTATTATTTCAATTTTTTACTTGTAAAACTTTTTTTTTACTGTTTTTTTTTTAGTAAAAACAGTTTTTCTATTATAATGAAATGAAATTGAGGAGTTATATTTTTATTAATAAATAAAAACACATTTTATGGCCATAATCATTGCCTGTCATCAAAGAAACCAACCAGAAAACTAACATAAGATGACACAAAAGTGTGTCCAACCAATCAAAACACAGGGGAAACATTTTGTTTGATTTCTGAGAATCAAATAAAAATTGTAAATTTAAAAATATTTAATTTTTAGGAAAATAACAGCCAATCAGAATTCAAGGTAGTTCCAGTGTATTGTTATTTTGCACATTTCAAAGTCAATTTTCTCTATTATTTTCCATTAGTACAGTATGTCAGTAAGTACATTTATGTGCAATATGACTCAAAATGACCAACATTTTTTAGTTGTCTGTATTTTGTCTTTCAAACGAAATTTTCATGTTGTTGTTTGCTGTTTTTTTGGAATTTGTAGCAATTTTGAATTTTATTTATTTTTTACAGAATAGCATCCACAACGGTGTTTATCCTGGACATCTGTGGAGCTTATGGTTGATATTTTCCATTGTAACGGCTGTGCATTTTATGGACAGGGCGGTTCCATTTGATCTAGCTGCAAAATTTTTATATTTATTTAACGAGTAAGTAATTTTCGAAATTTTCTTGTTGATAAAAAACGAGAATTGTTATACCAATTCAATGTCGGTCACTCTATTTAACACTTCCATAATTATAGTCATTTAAAGGTTCAATGCGAAACTTTTAACAATTTAAAGCCTTCGATTTATACAGGGTGTCAGAACTCGTGCCCCAGAGAAAAATTTCAAGTAAGATGAGATACCAGGAACATGGAGAAAATGTTAAAAAATTAACTCTGTCAAAAAAATTTGACATTTATTTTTTGACATTTGACATTTTTTCATGATGATCTTGTATACAGGGTGTCCCAGCGAATTGAAAAATTTAATTAGTGACCTTTAAATGGTAAAATTAAAAAAAAATAGGATATTGATAGATACTAATCTAGTGCATTACCTAAAATTATTTTCAACTATACAGCGCCAGGGTCCCAAAAATAAGTTACAATACAAACTTGTGTTTTTTTTAATGAAACACCACATGTTTCTTAGTATTTTTGGATGTAGATTTTTATGATGATTTTTAAGCTAAACTTTTATTGGCCGATTTTGCTTAGTTTTAAAAATAAGACGTTTTTTTGACGAAAACAAAAATAAATAATCAAAGTGCAAAATTTAAACTCACATAACTTCGAAATTTTTATAGATAGAATTTTTTTACATGACATTTTTTTGTGGAGTGACTTCTGGCGCACCCTGTATTTTGTACAAAAATTATATTGCTTAATTTTATTCTTAAAAACTGTTTACTAAAAAAGAATGTATTAAATTAATAATGAATTTCTTCGTCAAGCTCATCTCATACATATGTATACTTTTCTTTTAAATGGGTTATTAGATTATTAAATTCAATAAATAATAAATTCAAATTTTAAATAAAACAAAAAAACTAATTTTTTTGGTTTACATGTTTCACAATTACCAAAAAAGTTGTAACAGAACTAAGAAATTTAAAATCATTTTTTGTTTTTTTTTTGATTATCTAAATTTAATAAATAATGTTGATTAAGTTACAAAACTAATAAGAAATTTAAAGGTTTATATTTATTTGAAATCTACGTTAAGTTTACAATCCTGTTAAGAGGGTTGGTATCGTTTATTTGAGACGTCGTTTTCAAATTGTTTGACTGTACAGCAAAACACAAATTCTCACATTTTTAATTTAGTACTAAAAGGGTCAGCAATTAAATAAAAAAAAACTCTTAGGTTTTTTGAAATTTTGAGAGTGGTATTAGGTTTTTTGAAATTTTGAGAGTGGTATAGTACATTACATGGCATTTTTCTCTGGGGCGCCAATTTCTGGCGCACCCTGTATTATTTTTTGTTTTTATTTTCAGTACATCGACACGATGGCACTTCATTGCGTGCTTTTTAACGGCCCTAATTTATTGGTTAACTGTAATATTCACCCTTAGATACACATTAAAGTTATTACTTATGTACAAGGGTTGGATGTATGAAGCGAGAGGTAAAGGCAATAAAACATCTTTGCCTACGAAAATATGGTTCATATGTGTTAGAATTTTTAGCGGCTGGAATCGGCCAAAACTTTACAGTTTCCAAGGTTCGCTTCCACGTTTACCTCTGCCTGCCTTGCACGACACCATGACTCGAGTGAGTGAAATTTTTAGTAATTTCAGGAATTAAAATTTAACACAAGGCGACAAAAAAAAAGTCATGTCGTGACAACTTGACAAATTTTATATCATTTTGTTCGTCTCAGTGAGACAAATCAAATGCACTAAAAATTTTTTCAAAAAGTCCACACACTTTGAACTAATTAATTGTTTTCTAATTTAAAAGAATTTAAAATACTTTAACTTTAAAAAATCATTACTCAATAACTATTAGGCCGATTTCCTTTAAATAAAGACCATTCTAAAGGAATGGCCTTGCCACAAGATACAGGCTGTTCCGTCTAAACCCCACTTTAGAAGTATTGGGAGTTGGAATAATTGTATTTATTTGAAAATTGGTACATAGCCATAAACCATTAAGTCCTCCTAAATGAAAATATTTTCAAGATGGCGGCACTTCCGGTTATACCGGAAGTCGGTCTCAACTTTATTATTTTAAATGGAAAGGTATATTTTTTACTGCGTTTTTGGATTAATCGGGTTATTTTAAGGGAGTTTTCATCAGCTTTCTCTATACCTAAATTTAGCCGTTTTTGAAATATTTGGAGTTTTTCAAAAATTTTTGGATTTGCACCTTCCACTTTAAAAACCGGTAACTCTGCCATTTTTTCAGATTTTAAATTCCTTTTTTTGGCGTTTGAAAGAGAAAGCTTAGATCCTTTTTCTGGTGTTTTTAAATTTTGAAAAAAAAAAATATCTCAAAATTTTAAGGTTACTTTTGTAATAATTCAAATACTCATAACTCAATTTTTTCAAATGAAATACCCCAATTTTTATTTTACAAAATAGAAGAGAATATAATTGTGCATTGATCTGTTTTAACATTCTCTATACCTAAATTTAATAATTTTCAAGTTATGGACTTTTTTTTAATACTACAGAAAATTTATTACTAGCCATACCCGTTTTCGCATAGTTTGCTATGGAAATCAAAAATGTCAAAATTGTTTCTCAGTAAACGTCGACAGTGACTTATTATTTGCCAAAATAGTGCCAAAATATGGAGAATCAAAGTTATACAAACTTAATTATTATTGATAGGTTAGATGCGATCATTATTTAAAGCTAACAAGTAAGAAAAATTTATTTTTGTTTAATGAACGACATCATAATTTTGTTACACTCTCCATAAATACAAAATAAATTAATTAAATCTAAGTTTGAGTAGCTTTGACTCTCCATATTTTGGCACTATTTGTCAAATAATAAGTTACTGTCGACATTTATTGAGAAACAATTTTGACATTTTTGATTTCCATAACAAACTATACGAAAACGTAATAGATTTTCGACAGTCTTAACAAAAAGTCACCATAAATTATTAAATTTAGGTATAGGGAATGTTAATACAGATCGATACAGAATTAAATTCTCCCCCTTTTTGTATAATAAAAATAGGGGTATTTCATTTGAAAAAAATGAGTTATGGGTATTTGAATTATTACAAAAGTAACCTTAAAATTTTATGGTTTGTTAATTTTTTTTTCAAAATTTTAAAACACCGAAAGAAAGATCTAATCTTTCTCTTTCAAACGCCAAAAAAACGAATTCAAAATTTTAAAAAATAGCAGAGTTACCGGTTTTTAAAGTGGAAGGTGCAAATCCAAAAATTTTTGAAAAAGTCCAAATATTTCAGAAACGGCTAAATTTAGGTATAGGGAAAGCTGATGAAAATTCCCTTAGAATAACCCAATTAATCCAAAAACGCCCATTTTTAAGCAAAAGAAGAGCCTTAAAATAAATACTTTTATAAAAATGCAATTTTAAGTAAGATTAATATGCATTTCTCCTATATGGCGCAATACCTGAACAGCAAACCTTAACTTCAAAAAATCATATCTTAAAAACTACACGGTATATTATTTTAAAAATTTGGTTTCTTACTAATAAAAAGATGCTCGTGTAGATGGTGACGGAGAAAAAAAAATTACTCGTAGGGTTTTTCTTAAATTACTTCGATTTACTTCGAACTTCTTCGAACACTGTTCGAAAGAAAGTTTGCCAATATTTAATTTCAAATTGCATATCATTCCAAAGGGCAAGTCCATCCCTTTAGAATAGTCTTTATTTGAAGGAAATCGGCCTAATAGTTATTGAGTAATGATTTTTTAAAATTAAAGTATTTTAAATTCATTTAAATTAGAAAAAAAGTATGTAGTTCAAAGTGTGTGGACTTTTTAAAAAAATTTTTTAGTGCATTTGATTTATCTTACTGAGACGAACAAAATGATATAAAATTTGTCAAGTTGTCACGACATGACTTTTTTTTTTGTCGCCTTGTGTAATTTAATTCGATTTTCAGTATTTACGGAGCGTTCGTCCGCTCCTCGACGACAAAAACTACCAACGTATGGAGCGTCTCGTCTCGGAATTCGAAAAAGGCATCGGGAAGAAACTCCAACGTTATTTATGGTTGAAATCCTGGTGGTCAAGTAACTACGTCTCGGATTGGTGGGAAGAATATGTGTATTTGCGTGGGCGTTCCCCCCTCATGATCAACTCGAATTTCTACGGGATTGATGCGATTTTCATGACCCCGACTTCAATTCAAGCTGCGAGGGCTGCATCTGCAATTAATTCGTGTCTTGTAATGCGAAGATTGGTCGAACGACAGGAATTGGAACCGATGATGATTCAAGGAGTTGTCCCGTTGTGTTCCTGGCAATATGAGAGGATTTTCAATACGACGAGGATTCCAGGAATGGAGACTGATAAAATACAACATTGGCAAGATTCGAATCATATTGTGGTCTATCACAAGGGGAGATATTTTAAAGTTGTGATTTACAAAGGGAGGATTTTGAAACCGTGCGAAATTCAAGTGTGAGTAGAGTTTTTCGCTGTCCCAAGCGAAAACACAGAATTTGTTATTACAGTAGAACTTTGATAACTTGAAATTTCGATGTCTAATTCGTTTGTGTCCCAAAATTGCTACAAAACTTGATATTAGCCTCTAACAGAATTTATATCGCTGTGAATCTGCATAAATGCATTATTTTTGCACCTAACTGTGCTAATATTAATTCTGTCGAAAAAAATTAAATAGCTTTTTTTGCCATGAGAATATTTCATTAAAATAAAATTGTGTTTATACACAACTTGTAAAATTTTATCAAAATGACTCAAGTGGTTTTGAAGGAACTAATGGATTTTCATTTTTATCATGAAACCTTATCACCCTGTATATGCGTAATGAAGCTATTGTTTGTGTTATTTTTTGATGTAGAATATGTAGTTGCAATTTTTGAAATATTAAGAAATAATAATTAATAATAATAATAATTCAGATTTTTTAGATGAACTTAAAACATTTTTTTGTTCTAAAAGAACTTTCTTCAACTTCATACTTTTTATTTAGAATCAATTAACGTTAAAACTTGCAATGTTTTCAAGAGACATAAATGAATTATTTTTGCGGCTAACTGTACTAATATTAATTCTGTCAAAAAAAAAATTAGTCATGAAAATATTTTTTTAAGTAAAATTCAATAAATTTATAGTACAAATTTGTGTTTATACACAACCTGTAAAATTTTAACAAAATGACTCAAGTGGTTTTGAAGGGACTAATGGATTTTAATTTTTATCATGAAACTTTATCACCCTGTATATGCGTAACGGAGCTTTATCAGACTATTGTTTGTGTTATTTTTCGATAAGAATATGTGGTTGCAATTTTTTTGCAGTATTAAGAAAACACCCTGTATAATAATTCAGATTTTTTTAGATGAACCTAAAACATTTTTTTTATGCTAAAAGAACTTTCTTCAACTTCACACCTTTATTTAGATATCAATTAATCAATTTTTTTATTTATTGTCAAGTACAGTAGAACTTATACAAAAAAGGACAAATCATACTAGACCGTTTTCAATAAAAGTTTTTTTTCTGTAATTCCGAAGACAAATGAGTAAAATACATAAATACAGTGTGGCCCCGGTAAGGTGAAACGATTCCTGTAAAAGATAAAAAATCTCGATTTAAATTTTCGTTATGTGGGGTTCAGCTTTTCTTAGTTAAAGACTAATTTCTAACATGATTTTAGTTTGAAAAAATCAAGTTTGCCTTGGAAATAAAAAAAATATATATTTTTTTTTGTAGCAAAAATGACAAAAAATTGTTAAAAAAGGTTGTTTAGAATCAACATCTAGGCCCCGACACCAAATTAAAAAAAAACGGCTAACTATGATTTTTATTTTTTTTAAGTTATGCTTTTTAGTATAAAATAACTATAAAAGTCATTCAGTAGTAATAATTTAAGTGTGAAATTTTCTTATTCATAATAAAAGAACCTCAAAAAGAACTGTGAAAAATAACATTCTTTGATTTGACTTAAAAAAGTGAAAAATCATAGTTGGCCGATAATTTTGACATTTGGAATAGGGCTTAGATGTTGATTCTGAAGAACTTTGTTTAATAACTTTTTTGAAAATTTTTGAAAATTTCCAAAGCATACTTGATTTCTCAAAACTAAAAGGACTAAACTCTAAAAAATGAAAACTTATATCGAGATTTTTTTTTATAAAATATAAATAAAAAGTATGGAACCAAACGTTTTGTGCTAAAATTATTTATTTTTTTGAAAAACTAATTGACAAAAGAGAAAGCACTATAAAAATGTGATGTTTTAACAAAAATAAATTTTTTCGAAATTTTCTTTTGTTTTTGAGTTCTACAAATTTTTTTATTTTTTTAAATGGCAAACCACTATAAAACCATTTTTCTCATAAAGGTGATCTAATAGGGATTACAACTATACTTTATATTTAATTTTTTCATTTTTTTTTTACATAAATTGCAATTTTGACAAAAATCGCGTAACTCAAAAACAAAAGAAAATTTCGTTTTCAAATTACGATCACATTTTTTATATTACGTTAATTTATGTTAATTATTATTTTCTGGAGGCAAATGATTAAAAAAAAATGCTTTTTTTATATCATATCATACACGCATATGCAATTTTAAATTTTTATTGTACCCGGAGGGGCATCGGTTACGCACACTTGATATATTGCGACTTCTAATTAATTAAAACTGGCGATATTTCATATACCTAACTAATTATTGATAGAGTATATTTGAGAATTTTTTAATTTTTTTTGATAATAACAATTACAGTTCCCCATTGTCCCTTAAATTAATTTTTTTTCTGATTTCGTAAACAATTACAGGAAGTGAATCTGCGTAGGTCAGTATAAAAATTAGAATATAACTTTCTGGGGAAAAATTACTTTTAATTTTTTTTTGGCTTTGTTTGTAAATAAAAAATTACCAAAAAATTATAAAATGTACGTTATCAATGCCCAGATAAGTGTGAAAAAATTCAACAATTTTATTTAATTAGAAGTGGGGATTTTTTTCTGCTCGTAACCGATGCCCCACCCGGTATTTAATATTTTAATTTAATTTAATAATAAAACCCAAATTTGTAAAAAAAACTGTTTTTTGCTTGGGACGCCGTTTTGGGTGTTTGTGAATCGGTTAAAAATTGTTTTTGTAGTCAGATTGAGCACATTTTGAACGACGAATCGGAGTCTTTACCCGGGGAAGAGAAATTAGCGGCGTTGACGGCGGGTGAGAGGACCCATTGGGCTAACGTTCGTCGTATGTTTTTCACCAAAGGTGTCAATAAAACATCGTTGGATATTATCGAAAAAGCGGCGTTTGTGGTCGCGCTTGATGATATTCCCTACGAGTTTGATCAGGTGGGTTGTCAAAAAGTGGGCTTTTTGGTCAATTTTTAGTTTCAGAAAGATCCGTCCAAATTGGATAACTACGGGAAAATCCTCCTCCATGGTAAGGGTTACGACCGATGGTTCGACAAATCGTTCACTTTATGTGTTGGCACCAATGGAAGGGTAGGTTAACGTTTTTGGTTTTTTTCTTGTTGATTTTTTATTTTTTTTTAGATTGGGTTCAATGCTGAGCACTCGTGGTGAGTTTTACGAATTTGGTGTAAATTAGTGTTTTTTGTCATAGAAAGCGATGGGTATTTTTGATCCCCACAAAAATTTGAATAGTTTGTTTTTGCAGGCTTGGAAGATTTTGACAAAATTAGAAAATTGAAAATTTTAATTGATTGGATCACAAGAAATGAATGTGAAGAAAGCCTTGCAATGTTAAGTAAAGCAGTGATACGTAAAAGTAGAATTACAAATTTTAATTTGAAAATTCCAAGGTAAATAACAAAAAAATTTTTAATAAATAATGCAAACCGTTTTGGACGTTTATGATAAAACATATTCAAGGTGGAACGAAAAAATGGGGACAAAGAGTAACGTGGGATTCCCCAAGTGAAAATAAAGTTAGAGGACGCCAATGAAATTACCTAACTAAAACCAAAATTTTTTTAACAATTTTAAAATCAATAATAAACGACCAATGTCCGAAATTTTTATATGTTTACTTAAATTATTTTTTATTCTAAAACCAAGGCCGAATCAAAAATTGTTTAAAAATAGTGTACCTTTCGAATAAAAATAGAATTGCGGATTACGAAAAACAAAAATATGGCTTAAAATATGTTGAATTGTTAATACGTAAGTACTTTATGGTAAAAATAAAACAAAAGAAATAGCACCAAAACATGTGGTTTTGGTCAGAGCAAAAGTTTGATAAGTTTTAACTGATGACGGTAATGTAGATTCCTTTACATTTCAACATTGTCAATTCTGTTATTTCTTTTTATTGCCCATTATTACCATGTTTTTTGTATTTTTATTTATTTAATTACGCATGCGTTGTAGTTTTACCAGAAAAAAAATCGAGTTTGGCAGTTTTCAATAATATTGTCGGTTTATTTTATTTTATTTTCAATGTTGGTATCAAAGAATTGACATATATATAAGGTTTGTTTTTTATTTAAATGGAAATCACCAAGTTAAAATTTTGGTGAAAAAAATGGTATCTCTATAGCTACAAATTTTGATTTTGTCCCTAGAAATGTTAAAAAAATTATGGTTATGAATTATGTGTGCCAGTTTGAAAGCGTTATAATCCAAATTTCCAAAAACCGTTAGTGTTACAGAATTTGTCTCTGTTTTTGTATTTTTGTCATTAAATTTCCTTAGACTTTTTTTGCTGACGTTAATGACTTGTTTTCAAATTAAATCAAAAACCAGAACTGCCAACCTCCGTTATTAAAATTACCATAAATGAATTTGCTAGTGGTGCCAACGTTAAGACTGTTTGACAGTTGTTAAATGTCTTTATTCTTTTTAAGTTCATAATAAAAGTTGGAACAAAGATACGATAAGTTTCAAAAAACTTACAACACTATAACAACTTTCTAAACTAAAAAAAGATTTGGTGTGTTAGAGCCACATTGATTTTTTTATTTTAAACATTTACTATATTCATCTTGGAAAATTTCACTTTATTGGTAGTTGATATTTATTGTTTGACCGATTTCTCTCTTAATTTATTCTTTTTTTTGTCATTTTCTCAACGTGTGTTTATAGGGCTGACGCAGCAGTGATTTCCCATGTATGGGAATGGGTGGTAACGACCCAGATCCACGAGACTCGGTAATAACAAAATCCGTGTTTACTCTCTAGGTGAATGGAACCTGCTGTTGCGTCCCACTTATCATTTTTGTATCATATCTATCCGCCTTGAAAGCTGCTTTTTTGTACACATTTCAAAATGGTTGTGGATTTAACTGTGTTTCTTTCTTGATGGCTAGGGCTGACGCTGCGATTATCGTTCATTTAATGGAGCTTCTGATTCTCGATGAGCGAACCGAACGGTAATTTTCTTATCTGTTTGAAACACGCACAAAAGTATCATTTTTCGGGGCAGGGTGAATTGCGCTCAGTTTTAGAAACAGGTATAATGAGGCTAATAAGGGTCGCTAATCCTTAAGGTGAACTGCGCTCAGTAGCATCGCAACGGGGTACCTATTGCCGCCGGCACTTGAGTACTGAAATACCCTGTATTAAAAGGTATGTTTTAATTAAAAAAAAAAATATATATGAAAGAGAAGCAAATAGATCGATCCAATTTTGGGAAATGTCTATCTTTTTATAAGTTTGACCAAATTTTTTAAAACACTGTTATGTAATTTACACCTATACATATTTGTGTTCAGTAAATGTCAATAATAACCTAATTTGTTTTTGTTTATTTCGAAATGCAAAGTACATTTTTGCAACTGGTTTATCCTTATTTTCTATAGCCTGGGAATTTAATTTTTAATAATTTAATTCTTTACATCACGCTGAGATATATCGACCGACCTGAGCGCAGTTCACATAGGGATTAACGCAACGCAGGTAAGTAAAAATTTTCTGAGCGCAGTCCACTGTAGGGATTAAAATGTCCTGATTGAGCGCAGTTCACCGGCACCCCATTTTTCTGCACTAACTGTCTTAATCCTGCATGGCTATTTCATTGTTTGCTTTGTTGAGACATGTTTTTTTACCAAAAAATGACTGATAAATAAATAAATATATACAGGGTGTTCCGTCTAAACCCCACATTAAAAGTATTGGGAGTTCGAATAATCATATTTGTTTGAAAATTGGTACATTGCCATAATGCATTAAGTCCTCCTAAATGAAAATATTTTCAAGATGGCGGCACTTCCGGTTATACCGGAAGTAGGTCTCAACTTTCTTATTTTAAATGGAAAGGTATATTTTTTACTTCGTTTTTGGATTAATCGGATTATTTTAAGGGAGTTTTCATTATCTTTCCCTATACCTAAATTTAGCCGTTTTTGAAATATTTGGAGTTTTTCAAAAATTTTTGGATCTGCACCTTCCACTTTAAAAATCGGTAACTCTGCTATTTTTTAAAATTTTGAGTTCGTTTTTTTGGCGTTTGAAAGAGAAAGATTATGTCTTTCTTCTGGTGTTTACAAATTTTGAAAAAAAAATTAACAAACCATAAAATTTTAAGGTTACTTTTGTAATAATTCAAATACCCATAACTCAATTTTTCCAAATGAAATACCCCAATTTTTATTTTACTAAATAGAAGAGAATTTAATTCTGCATCGATCTGTATTAACATTCCCTATACCTAAATTTAATAATTTTTAAGTTATGGTGACTTTTTGTTGAGACTGCCAAAAATCTGTTATTAGTCACATTCGTTTTCGTATAGTTTGCTATGGAAATAAAAAATGTCAAAATTGTTTCTCAATAAATGTCGACTGACTTATTATTTGACAAATAGTGCCAAAATATGGAGAGTCAAAGCTACTCAAACTTAGATTTAATACTTATTTTGTATTTATGGAGAGTGTAACAAAATTATGATGTCGTTCATTAAATAAAAATATTTTTTTCTTACTTGTTAGCTTTAAATAATGATAGCATGGTAGAACCTATCAATAATAATTAAGTTTGCATAACTTTGATTTTTCATTTTTTGGCACTATTTATCAAGTAGTAATTTACTGTTGACGTTTGTTTAGAGAAAATTTTGACATTTTTGATTTCCATAGCATACTATGTGAAAACGGGTGTGGCTAGTAATAAATTTTTTGTAGTTTTTCAAGTCCATAACTTGAAAATTATTAAATTTAGGTATAGGGAATGTTAATACAGATCAATGCACAATTAAATTTTCTTCTATTTAGTAAAATAAAAATTGGGGTATTTCATTTAAAAAAATTGAGTTATGAGTTATGAGAATTATTACAAAAGTAACCTTAAAATTTTGGGATATATTTTTTTTCAAAATTTGAAAACACCAGAAAAAGCATCTAAGCTTTCTCTTTCAAACGCCAAAAAAAACGAATTTAAAATCTTAAAAAACGGCAGAGTTACCGATTTTTAAAGTGGAAGGTGCAGATCCAAAAATTAGTGGAAAACTCCAAATATTTCAAAAACGGCTAAATTTATGTATAGGGAAAGCTGATGAAAACTCCCTTAAAATAACCCGATTAATCCAAAAACGCAGTAAAAAATATACCTTTCCATTTAAAATAAGAAAGTTGAGACCGACTTCCGGTATAAGCGGAAGTGCCGCCATCTTAAAAATATTTTCATTTAGGAGGACTTAATCGTTTATGGCTATGTACCAATTTTCAAATAAATACGATTATTCCAACTCCCAATACTTCTAAAGTGGGGTTTAGACGGAACACCCTGTATAATATATTTAATATAATAAAATAAATTCAGATATGACAAAACCGGAAATGCGCTCGGCAAACCGGAACTAACCCCGCCCACTCCGACACGCCTCAATTGGGAAATCCGTTTCGAGTGTCAAGAAGCCATCGATAAGAGCATGAAAATCGTGAAAAGTCTCATCGAAGACATCGACTTGCGTATCTACGTCCATGACCACTATGGGAAGGGTTTCATTAAGAAATGTCGGTTGAGTCCCGATGCCTACCTCCAGATGGCGCTTCAATTGGCTTATTACCGCGATGCTGGGAGATTTGACTTGACCTATGAGGCTAGTATGACTCGACTTTTCCGCGAAGGTCGTACCGAAACGGTACGCCCATGTACCATCGAAGCATCCAGATGGGTTAAGGCCATGGAGGATGCGAAGAGTACCACCGAGGAGAGGATCCAGCTGTTGAGGGCGGCGTGCGAGAGACACCAGATTATGTACCAGGACGCGATGTGTGGCAGGGGTATCGATAGGCACTTGTTTTGTCTTTACGTGGTGTCGAAATACCTCGAAGTGGATTCGCCCTTCCTCCAGGAGGTGTTGAGCGAGCCGTGGAGGTTGTCCACGTCGCAGACGCCCCATGGACAGACCGGGAGGATGGATCTCAATAAGCACCCCAATTGTATATCAGCTGGTGGGGGGTTTGGTCCAGTCGCCGATGATGGTTATGGTGTCTCTTATATCATAGCAGGCGAAGATATGCTTTTTTTCCATGTGTCAAACAAGAAAAGCAGCACTAAAACGGTAACTTTAGGGACTTTTGGGGGAAATTTGGTGATTTTTGGGTTTTAGGATTGCCACCGATTTGCTAGAAGAATAGAAAAGGCACTTGCCGACATGAAGGCACTCTATACTGATCATAAATCTCAGAATGGTAACAAATAAGTTTTTTTGGGATCTAATTAGGACAATCTCCAAGGTGGTATTCGGTTTTTAGGTTAAGAAACTTAAGTTATTGCCGAGTTTGGCGAGCATTAGGCACAAATTTGGTTGCTGCAATTTATTGTTTTATTGTTTGAACTCTTGTTTAAAAATAGTTACTTTTGCTAATGAGTGTGAGTATTATCTCTACTATTGTCTAGTTATGCAAGGATCAATGCAAATATTTGAATTTATTAATTAATCAATTTTGTTTTTTACTGTAAAAATGATGTGGACCTCTAATCAATTGTACCTACATTTTTATGAATCAATAAAGAATATTTGATAGCAAACGACTTTGAAAAGTAGGGAAAACCTCACCCAAATCAAATTTCCCGCTTCATGCAAAGCTACATTTTGACACCAGAGGGCGAAATTTCAACTTTTTGCACTCTTGTGTCATAATTTTATATTTCAAAATGTGCGAAAATGTTTTTTTTTTGAAACGTACAAAAGCACAATACCCTGTATATCACTATCAACTGTCTGTCAAAAAAAAATCAAGTGATGTGATAAAATACAGAGTGGTTATAAATGATATTCATCTAGCCAGCTTTGGAATTTTTTTGCATGTAACTTTACTTGTGCCGCTCTACTTTTTTGAAAACTCTAGTTCTGTCATTAGTGTCACTTATTAATTAATAATAAATTGTTGTTAATTAAACTCTTATTCTGTATACTTTGGAAGAAAACAAGTTTATAATTGAAGTCTATTTTCGAAGTGGATGGTTAGTAAACGGCGAATTTTTAATTTTAAGTTAAAACAAGTAGATCCCCTATTTCCGTAAAGCGGCATTTTTTATTTTACATGGCAAATTTACAGCTGGCTAGATGAAAATCATTTATAACCACTTTGTTCTTTTCTTTTCTATCAATTTGCACTCTTAAAAATACACTAAGATAAATAAGTTTACGCAATTTTTTTATTTCAAAATGTATGAATATAATTTCTTGAAACGTGGTAAAGACTATCAAGACTGTCAACCTTAAAAAACTTAACATCCAACTCATTCATCAAAAAAATTCAATTGCAAGTGTGAGGTTAGTTTTGTGATAAAAATTCCAATTAATTTGCTATTGCATATCCTCGTCAATAGCAAACGACTTTTTTTTTAAAAAGTAGTAAACATCTTAATCGAGTTATTCAAAACCAACTTTTTTGTGCACTCCTTTAAAAAATAAACTTATACAAATGAGTTTACGCAATTTTTTACTTCAAAATGTGTCAAAATATAATTTCTTGAAACGTGGTAAATGCATAACACCCCCTATATCACTCCCAAGACAGTCAACCTAAAAAAAACTTAACACCCAACTCATCCATCAAAAAACTTCAAGTGTGAGGTTAGTTAGTTTTCTGATAAAAATTTCAATTGATTTGCTATGGCATATCCTCATTGATAACAATCGTCTTTTATTAAAAAAAAGTAGCCAAAATTTTAACTCAATTATTCAAAGCCGCACATTTCGACAACCACTAAAAATAAACTTACACAAAAAATATGAGTTTGCGCAATTTTTTTATTCAAAATATGTGAAAATAATTTCTTTGAAACGTGATAAACGCACAACACCTCTTATATCACTATCAATGTTGTCAATTTAATAAAATTGAACCTAATTTATTCTAACACCCAACTAAAATGTTAAAAAAATTCAAGCGTTACGTTTGTTATATGATAAAAACACTTTTCTTTTCTACCAATTTGCACTCTTTTAAAAAATAAACTTACAAAAATGAGTTTACGCAATTTTTTACTTCAAAATGTGTAAACATAATTTCTTGAGACGTGGTAAATGCATAACACCCCGTATATCACTATCAAGACTGTCAACCTAAAAAAACTTAACACTCAACTCATCCATCAAAAAAATTCAAGTGTGAGGTTAATTTTCTGATAAAAATTTCAATTAATTTGCAATGGCATATCCTCATCGATAAGAAACGACTTTTATTAAAAAAAAGTAGCCAAAATCTTAACTCAATTATTCAAAGCCACACATTTCGACAACCAAATGGCTCAATTTCAACTTTTTTGTGCACTCCTTTAAAAAATAAACTTACACAAATGAGTTTGCACAATTTTTTTATTCAGAATATATGAAAATAATTTCCTTGAAACGTGATAATCGCACAACACCTCGTATATCACTATCAAGGCTGTCAACTTAATAAAATTTAACACCCAACTAATCAGTCAAAAAATTCAAGCGTTCGTTATATGAATACAAACACTTTTCTTTTTTTATCAATTTGCACTCTTAAAAAATAAACTTACACAACAAATGAGTTTACGTAATTTTTTATTTAAAAAAATGTCTTTGAAACGTGGTTGTAAACGCAAGACTGCCAACCTGAAAAAACATACCACCCAACTAATCTGTCAAAAAAAATTCAAGTGTGAGGTTAGTTATGTGATAAAAATACTTTTCTCTTTCACCAATTTGCTATGGCATATCGTCTCATTAGTAGCAGCAAAAAACTAGAAAAATTGCTATTTAGAAACCTCAAACAATGCAACTTTAACGTAAGCAAAGTATGACGAAACTCTTACCTAACCTATGCAAGCCTTGTCACCGCTTAACTTGTAGGAAAATTCAACATTTCAAGCCGTACTAAACCAATGGAGACTGTTTTGCGAAAAACCGCCTAAAGGATTTGAAAAGTACTTTGAGCCTGGTTCGAAACAGAAGGGGAAAAGTCCGAAAAGTGAGCCCCCGAAAGAGGCTAAAAAAGATGGCAAGCAGGAGAAGGAGCAAGAGCAGCCTAAGCCGCCCCCGAAGCCACCAGGGCCAAAACCGTACGACCAGTGGTCTTTCGGGCTATTTGGGGGCACCGGTAGCCGGTGAGTGGCCCCTTTTGCGATTTTTGTTCTAATGGGGTTGCAGGGGGAGCGGTGGGAAGCCGTTCGGGGACGGCGATCGAGACAAGTGGTACATTCTGGGGGCAGGAGCCGCCATTGCGTTTCTCGCAACTGTGACTATGTGGGAAATGGGGTACAAGGAAATCAGTTGGAAGGAGTTTGTTCACAGTTATTTGACACGAGGCATTGTAGAAAAATTAGAAGTTGTTAATAAGAAGTGGGTGAGGGTGAGACTCCTCCCCGGGAATACCATTGACGGGGCTGTAGGTTATTTTTGAAATTGGTTGATTTAAATTTAAAAGTGGTTTGTAGAATTTTGTATGGTTTAATATTGGTAGTGTTGATTCGTTTGAACGCAATTTGGAGAATGCCCAAATTGAGATGAATGTAGAACCACCGAATTTTGTACCAGTTATTTACAAGACTGAAGTGGAAGCTGCAAGCTTGTCGGGGGTTTTACCCACGATTCTTGTTATTGGTTTTTTGATCTACATGATGAGACGATCTGCCGAAATGATGGGGGGCGGAAAAGGGAAGAGGAAAGGCCTTTTTGGGAGTGTCATGGAGAGCACAGCCAAACTCATCAACTCCAACGAAATTGGAGTCAGATTCAAGTTAGTTTTTCCACTTATTTTTTTTTAAGGAAACAAATTAAATGCACAGTAAAATAACAAATACTCATTATCATTAAGAAAATAAAGACATGACGATAAAAATAAATGTCCAGTAGAAAATAGTATATTATTCTACTGGGATTAAAAGTGTCACTTTTTGGCGAACAAAAAACTCATTTTTAAGCCGAATAAACATGCTATTTTTTCTCCAGTCAATAACATACACAAAATTAGAAAAACAATGCATATTTTATTAGGATTAAAATGTCAGTTTTAAGCATGGTAAAAAATGTTTTTTTCTTAGTTATAAAAATATCAATTTTATCTTTCAAAAATGACAACCCCCAAAATTTAAAGTTACGTTTGGGAAATGGAGTTAAATGGAAGGCTCATTTTTTTTTACTAAATAAAAGAGAATTTAATTCTGCATCGATTTATTTTCTTTAAAAGTTTTCAAGTTTATACTTCTTTTTTATATTAATGTGCATCAAGTAGGCTGTGGAAGTTTAAATGCATCTTTAATTTAAAGGCCGATTCACACAAAAATGTCATTAATGTCATTCAGAACAAATTTAATAACATCAAAATAATGACAATTTAATTATTTTAGTTTTAATTATTTTTTGCAACCTCAAAATCTGGGGTACACATATTTATTTGAGAAAATAATTTTTAGAGAAGATTGAGGTTAGGATTGTTTGAATTTTCACATGGTTGTCACCCCTTTCAATGACTACTTCGATGCACATTAATATGAAAACGAGTATAGTAACATTTTTGATATTGTGAGAAATTCGCTAGTCTTTACTATAAAAATAAGAAAAAAATAGAAAATCAATGTTATTTAAATTTAGATTAAATAAATTAATTGTATTTACAAAAAGAATAACACAATTGTGAAAAAAAAAATATATTTCCATGGCAAGAACGACCATCGATAGTAATGAAGTTCTTCGATTGCAAAAAAGTCAAGATAACTTGGAAATCATTAAATTTTGCAGAATTAGATTCTCTTTCGTCTAGTAAAGAAAAAAATGAGGTTTCCCATTTGAAAAAATTGAGTTATTCGTATTTGAAGTTTTTCATACGTAACCTCAAGTTTTGGGGCTTTGTGAATTATTTTTCCAACTATGAATACTCTAAAGGAAAGATGTAACGATTCTCTTTTATACCCACAAAATACGATTTAAAAATATTGAAAAATGGTAAAGTAATCGATTTTTGAATAGGAAGGTGCAAATTTAAAAAAAATCAAAAAGGTCTAAATATTTCGAAAACTGTTAACTTAGGTATAGGAAAAGCTAATGAAAACTCTCTCAAAATCACTTGAGTAATCCAAAAACGCGAAACCAGTTTTTTTTTAATATAACGAAGTAATTAGAGAAAAATATCAAGTAAGATAAGATACCAAGAATACGAAAAATGTTTACAAAAAAATCTGTCTAATTGTGACATATTTTTGACATTTGACATTTTTTATATCTATTTAATATTACTGATCATCTTGTATGTTTTTTCATAATTACCAAGATTGAAAATAATAATGAGAATAGACTGGAATAGAGTTT